TGTTCCAAGTTACTTGAACATATCATATATTCAAATATGGTAAATCACCTTGAGTGCAATACCTTTTTTTCCAAGTCTCAGCACGGTTTTCGGGCTGGTTTGTCGTGCACTACGCAAGTCACTGCGTTTTTACATGACCTCTCACTTTCACTAGATAAAAATGTTCAGGTTGACTGTCGAATGCTTTTTGAAAATCTAAAAGCAGGCAAAGTACCACATTCACTTCTTATGCACAAGTTGTCGTTCTTGGCCCTTCCTGACTATCTTTTTCGTTGGATAAATGATTATTTGTTAAATCGTAAACAATGCGTAGTTGTTGGTGGTCAAAATTCTCCGTATGCGGATGTAACCTCGGGTGTCCCAAAGGGGTCTGTACTTGGCCCACTTCTCTTTTTGATATATATCAATGACATAACACAAAATCTAACATGCAGTGTCCGATTATATGCAGATGATTGTGTAATCTATAGAGAGGTTAAATGTGAGGATGATTCTCTTCTGCTTCAGTCAGACCTTGAAAAGGTGATGACCTGGTGTGACAAATGGCAAATGTTTCTTAATATCAATAAATGCAATTATATTAGATTCACCAAAAAAAAAAGCAGCATAATCTATCAAAATATCAGTTGAACGGTGTTTCTCTTCAGGAGGTAGCTGATGTCAAATATCTAGGGGTTTATCTTAGTGTAGATCTTTCCTGGACTAAGCACGTCGACGCAATAACAGCAAAGGCAAACCGCGTTTTAAATTTTATCAAACGGAATTTTAAAATGGCCCCAACAAATATTAAGGAGCTGTTATACGTAACTAATGTCAGGCCAATCTTAGAGTATGCTTGTCCAGCGTGGGACCCGTATTACGTAAATTTAATATCGAAACTAGAGCGTGTGCAAAACAGAGCAGCCCGTTTTGTTGCAAATAATTATGAATTTCGCTCAAGTATAACAGATTTAAAGAAACATCTGGAGTGGAAATCTCTGGTTTCGCGGAGAAAATATCTTAAAATGAAACAAGTATTTACTTAGGGCAAACAGGTATTGTGAAGGACCACTACTTACATAATCCTGATTACCTGTCTTCAAGGGTGGACAACCCGCTAAAAATAAAGAATATTAGGTGTAAAACTGAAATGTTTAAGAACTCGTATTTCCCAAAATCAATTAGTGATTGCAACAGTCTCCCGCAGCACGTGGTCCCTGAAACTTCGGATGCTATGTTTTCCACCTCATTATTAGACATCCTTGAATAGTTGTGTGCTGTGTTTTTGTTTTGTACTGTTATGTTTCTGATTTTGTGTAACAGTTTTTGTAACAGTCTTTTTGCACTTCTTTCAATCAATAGTCTTACTTTTTTATTAACATGTTTGATGCAATGTGACGTATAATCGTTTTACTTTCCTGTACCATGTACCCCCTACAATAATGCCCCTGTGGCGATGTAGGTACTGTGTAAATAAATAAATAAATAAATAAATAAATTAGTCGCGTGGATGCGGCACAGACGGAACCGGCACACATTTTCCTCCTCGCTAGCGGTTTGACGATGCATATATAATGAAACATCTCTCGTGGAAATAGAAATGGTCATTGTTATTTGGCCAAAACATTCACACTTGGAAATGGTGTAGTCCCATAGTACTTATTTTTTTCGCGTCCTTCAGATTGAAATGTCTGGCAGGTACCCTCCTACTGATAAATGGTGTTGTCATCCATGTCCTGTTTAATCTCGAAAGTGGCCTTTAGTTTTTTACTTGATTAAACTGAACTGCAAATGGGCGTTTTCCCGTTTGTTGCCTTTTTTCTCGTCTCTGCGTCGGAATTCTTAATCATTTACTGCGCAGTTTAATGAAGTAATGAATAGCCAATTGGACCAATTTCAAGCACTGGTATCCTTCAGTTTTAGTTTCACTCATCCAATGTGATGATATTTGAGGGCAGGTAAAGTAACTTTGTGTTGGCGACTGTTTATTAATACTCATTCTTCTAAACTTTGCAGACCGAGGCCAGCCACCAGCCCAGCTTAACTTTGGCAGTGCCAGACCAGATTAATGGGACCAACTAGTCGGATCCAATAAGGAATGGCCACAGCTCAGCAAACTACTTGCGACATTTCTTATTCCTTCCATAGCTTTGTTCGCCGACTCACTGTATCCGTTTTTGTTGACGTGTAATTCCCAAAACCTATGGCGGTGAAATACCGTACAGTTGGTTTTGTGTCATGCCTGCCTTTTTTCAGCATTACAGAGCAGGAGCGACGTAACTAAACAATGCTCCTTGATCATATCCAGTTGTGTCTTGCTCGATTTGTGTGGGATTGTTTCGACGTAATCTTTAGCGAGTGTTTCAAGGTGAAGTGAAACATTTGTAGTACGTGGTTAATAGAGAAGTATTGCTTTTAAGTTTTGTTCACGTGCATTTTTTACAATCGAACTTTTCGGGATGTTCAATATCCAGTTATGATGCGCGTGTTTGTTCGTGCTTTGATTATTTTAACTTTTGAATCACACCCCAATACAAATGTAAACCCCTGAATTTCTCTACTTTATCTGCACGATGTGTCTCTGTTTGCTTGTTCTTGGAGTTTGTTCTGGTTGGGCTCATCTGTTGGTGTAGTATGCATAAAAAGAATGCAACTAAATAAAAGTTTCTCTTCACTCCTAACAGAAATTTCCCACGCAGCATCCGACAACGAATGGCAAAGAACGGACTGCGAGGACAGGGGCCCGGAGCTCTCCTCCCAAGGAGTTGAAATCCGGAGGAAACCGTGCAAGATGGACCCGCAGAGTTGGACGGACGGCGGTGCGACTTCTGCCCCCAATCTTGTGATGCCCAGAGAACTAACACCAGGTATGCGAAGACGCACACGGGAAAACACTCATCCAGCCCCGCACCTTCTTAGCACACCCTCTCATAGTCATGAACGGTAGGTTCCACACGGATTGAAAACCTTTTTGTAAGCTTGGTTTTCCAGAAGGTGGAAAATGTCAGGAGTCTGAAGTGGTACACAAAGTTTTCCTCCCGTGGGATAAAGGGGTTACATTCCGAAGTCCGAGTACTACAACTATGGTGAAAGTAAACAAACAAGCTGGGCTCAACTGAAGGAACATTCAGTCCGAGCACTCGAAGTTGGAATTGATACATCTTTTTTGATATCTGATAAATGTACCATACTGAGTTGCTTATTTATATCACAAAAGTTATATTTCTTCCTTTAGTTCCGGTTGATCGAGTAGGTATCACAAATGCTATAAATTCTATTTGACGAATAAAATAACCCAAAAAAGGTTTGTCTGTTTCAAATGCTTGAATATTTTCTTACAACATTATTTGTGACACGTAGCTTTAGCTTTAGACTGGAAAATGTGCATTCGAATGTCGAATTAAAACAACGTTTTTCGCTTTTTCAGATTGCTCGTAAAATGATCGCTCTGTGCCTTCGCAAATTATTAAATTCCTAAGGTACAAAACGAGTATTTTACGAGCCTATTGAATGCTATTTTGTGTAAGCAGGTGGAAACTCTAAGGAGTCAGATGTGGCACATAAGTTTCTTTCGCGTAGAAAGTTCTGTAAGGTTAAGTTAGCGCCCTGCACCGAGCAGAAAAGTACACCACAACACGATGCAAAGTTTATTTTCTTAGCAAAAGGGGGGGGGGGGATAAAGGAGTTATATTCTAAAGTTTGAGAACGACAACTCAAGTGAAAGTAAACAATCAAGCTGGGCTCTACTGGAAGAACATTCAGTCCGAGCACTCGGAAGTTTCAATTGCTACACCATATTTGATGACTGATATCAAAAGATTGTACCATGTTGAGTTTATTTATTTAAAAAAAGTCTTTTCTTTTAGTTTCGGTTGATCGAGTAGCTGTGAAAACACTATAACTGATTTTTAATGAATGAAATAGCCCAATAAATGTTCTGTGTTTGAAATGATTGAAGATTTTCTGACAGCATTATTTGCGTCGCCGAAGTTTAGCTTTAGACTGGCAAATGTCCATAGCAATGTTGATTTGAAATAGCGTTTTTCGCTGTTTCAAGTCGCTCGTAAAATAATCGCTGTTTACCTTAGCGTTTTTTTCAAGTTTCAAAGCAACACAACAATTATTCTACGAGCCTATTGAATGCTATTTTGTGTAACATAATAATCTGTGGGTGTGTGAACGACCCTTCTAGCGCTACGTAATACTCAGTCACGATCATTACGAATGTCAACACACTATCACCCAGCGCTTCGTACTGGCAGCGTTGTGCAGCCGCAGTGTTTTAGGCGTTACCGTAAATTGGAAAGATACGTTATTCGCTACTTGTGAAATAAAGGAACGCGTTACCGTTACCGGCAGAAAGTATTGCACGTTACTTTTGCATTACTTTTTATTTAGAAATTGGCGGTAACAGGCGTTTTTGTTTTATTTTGGTGACAGCGTTTTTCGACACTCGGATGACGGGCGCGGGCGTTGGAGGTCTTCTAAAGTGGAAATTTTTACGTGAGAAAAAGAGAGGAAATATTTAGAAAACATGTAGAATGAGTGCAATATTATTTACTTGGATCACATACTATGTTTCAGCTTTAATCTAGACGCAGCCGACGCTACGAGCTAATCGGACAAATCAATCAGCGTCAAAATCAAAAGTCACTCGGCCTTGTGTGTTTATTTCAGCTAAGATTGAACTCGTACAGAAACACAGAGAACACCATGATCGTTCCCTTTTCCCTCTCTGATAATTTCCATCAGCTTGTAGCGTCAGCTGCATCTTTACTTCAGGTAAAACGGTAAAACGAAGTATAGAAACTGGCAAACATTACAGGTGTTCGTTTTTCAATTAAACTTGAGGAAGAAAACTAGAAGAGAGTGACAAACGTTTTCTTCCTCAAGTTTAATTGTCCCACCAACCCGCTCGTTCTGTCCTAACATCATTTTTCAAGTTTTCGGAAGGTGTAATAAGTGACGTAATTATGTTACCCACTAACATGAGTACATTGCCCGTAAATGTCTCGTACGTTACTGTGTTAATAACAAAAATAAGGCGTTACCGGTAACGACGTTACTGGTAACACGTTACCGCCAACACTGTGAAGCAGCGACCGCGGCGGCTTGACTTCCCTTCCGCACTTGGTTAGCAGAACGTGCAAGCCACCACAGCTGCAGCACCATGGGGCTGCCAGAGTCGATTCTTAAACGATCGCCTGTAGACATTTACAAGCTTTGCGAATGAACCTTTTTAACATCTCAAATGAACGAATGCCCACGGAGGCCGCACCGGCATAATGTAGGTATTCTGGACCATGTTCAGAACAATTAAAAATGCGCCGACCTTTCTTGCTCTGTCGTGTCATCCCAACAGACTGGAACGGAGCAGGCTATGGCGACAAGGTGGACACTTTTGACCGTGACAGCTGCAGGGGCGACACCTCTCCCCCCACCAACAATTCGGGCCCACACAAGCAGCAAACGCACCGACAACCGGACAAGCACCCGTGCCGCTTCTGTCCTCACTCAAGCTCTTCCGCAGGAAATGTCGCCATCCACGAGAGGACTCACACTGGAGAGAGGCCCTTCAGTTGCGGTGTTTGCGAGAAAACGTTTGCGCGTACGGATTGCTTGACAGCTCATGTTAGAATTCACACCGGAGAGAAGCCGTTCAAGTGCAACACGTGCAGCAGGGCGTTTACTATTAAACGCAGCTTGGTAAATCACGAAAGAATTCATACCGGAGAGAAGCCGTTCAAGTGCAACACGTGCAGCAGGACATTTATTCAGAAATGCATCTTAACTAATCATGAGAGGACTCACACAGGAGAGAAGCCGTTCAAGTGCGAGACCTGCGGTAGATCGTTTGCGGGCAATAGCGGTTTACACACTCATCGGAAGATACATCGCAAGTGATCGAAACAGTAACGTGCATCATAGTTGTGGACGGGATTTAAACGAAATGCTCGAGAACCGACGTGTGTTCATTTCGTTTGGCGATAGACCTGCAGGGGTTCTACTTGCGAGCAGTGCAGATTTCGAATGGTTCGAAATCTTTTAGCCTCTTACTCATCGCGTAAACACAGCTAAAAAATGTGAATTTACCTTAGAGTAAGCGACCAGAGTTCTTTTTTGTACACGAAAAAACGAAAATACTTGAAGCCTTATCTTTTTTTATTCATTTAGAGTCATTAATCACGTGATGCACCTGGAATCTTTTGGTTGTCTGTAGGGTCACTTATGACCCCTACAAATCTGCCTACTCATGACCATAAATATACGAACTCATAAAATATCTAAGGTCTTTCAACAGCAGCAAGCTTGAATATTGCAAATGTTAGGGGAGTATAAGAAAAACCGAGTAATGTGGAAGGGTCAACATAACTTTAAGATATAAAAATAAAACTATATTTGAAACTGTTTAACACACCAAGCTGGAAACTAATGCTGTGCTCATAGGACTGCAACATAATATACATGACTCGAAGATTTAGAAATGCAATGTAATTTCCTATCTCATTTTGTAATATTCTTCGCCCTTTTTGTTTTTGATCAGTTTGAGTATCTGAATTCTGATGACATCATTCAATGTGCTTGCTACATGTAATACTAGTATGTATGTTTTTCTTTTGCATGATTTTATTCTTTTTTTTTTTTTTGCAGATTCACGAACACGGTCCTCGTCATTTAGGACATTTATACTTTCAGTGCTATTCATTTGGTGTTAATATATATTTCGTTTCCCCTTACGTACGAGCGCGGACGATGTTGTGAGCCGGAAGCCCAATAAAACAGTGCAGAAAGCGCAACGCCATAACGTGCTCTCTGCACTTGATAGAAATAGCCGGTGGAAGAGCACGCAGAGAGAGATGGCGAATACCGGCTAGTCCTATAGTCCTATCAACTGCAGAGAACTCGTCATGGCTTTGTGCCTCTTTCGCTGTTTGATTGGCCCTTCGGCTCATCACATCGGCCACGCTCGGACCTAAGCTTAAACGAAGTATAGTTTCACTTCAAATCGTCAGGCCTTTAAATATTTAAAATTCCTCTTGGAGTGGACGGATCATATGCATTTGTTGTACTAAAGGCATAATTGACTCCATTGTGTATATTCATGTATCTAAACACTGTATATGAAATCCATCTAAATATGCCTTAATCTGTGCTGACTGTACAGTGGTTGTCACTATTGGCTGATGCGCCAAAAATGATGGAGGAGAAGTCCTGTTTCCAAACGTATAAAATATTTGTTCTGGGGTGTTTCCGTAAAAACGGGCAAAATTGCTACTGCAAAAAGTACGAATGGCACAAAAAAGAAGCCTGATGCCGTAGTGGTCTGTGTCAAAGGAAAATTGCTAGAGCTCAATATAATAGGATATTTAATAAATTCCGAGTTCTTAAATTGTTAAATATTAGGTTTAAGGGGTGGTTTCAAAGATAATATCGTTCGGTACCATTGAGAACGACTAAATACACCCATGCTATAATGGTATGAGGCACGCGCAGCATTTTACAGCGTTCTGAAAAAATGCTCAATTTGGACACGTACCTGGCTTTCGGTTTTCTATCGGAGAGCATCTCCAAGTGGGCAATCTCGCCTCCCGTGTCTAAAACGCGCAATGTGCGCGCGCCGCCACGCATTGCACGTGAAGGTGATTCTTCACTCTGGCGCCGATGTGAAAAAGGCAGACCTCATGTGACTGTCCAGAGGCTTTCTTATGTAGACTTCTCTACGCGCGATGAGTGGCGGCGCACGCACGTTGCGCGTCTTAGACACGGGGGGGGGGGGGGGGCACGGAGATGTGCTCTGATAAGAAACCGAAACCAAGACACGCGTCCAACTTGAGTATCTCGGAACGCCGTAAAATGCTGCGCGTGCCTCTTACCATTGTATTGTGGGTGTTTTTAGTAGTTTTCGATGATGCTCAGAAAGATTCTATTTGAAACCATGCCTTTAAGATCAATAATTAGCAATTTATTCATTCAAAATTACTTACCCAATTTTGCTGAACGCTAAAAGTTTTTCTTGATGGCAGGTGCAAAGGGCCAAAGCTGGCAGGATGGTGGAAGCTACGAGCCCGTTGGACCACTCGTGCGTCGATCTTTCGAAGCATGCCCGCGCTCCCAGCCATATCCACGCAGAGGGCGTGGTCAAACGCTGAAAGGGAGGCGGTTGTCTGGTCCGGCAAACGCGTAGCTCCCGCCGCACTGTCAGCTTCAAGGGGCCGTGCAAAGCTGTGGGTATTGGAAATCAAGCACTAGCGTGCCCTTACATACAAAAAAAAAAAAAAAAGTAACAAAATAGCGTCACTTTTAAGTTTGTCAAAACTTAATGGGTTACTAAAATTCGCTACCGTCCTAAGAACGTAACGACGATTATACCATTACGGTTACATTCAAAAGGGAACGAACGTTACTTTTGCGTCAATTTGAAGTGCACTATTATTCGAAAGCGAAAGGCCGAGGATGCAAACTTAGACAACAGTTTATCTTCGACGGAGTAATTTTTTTGTGTGTTATTAGTTTGTAAAATTTGTTGCATATGTTTTTATTTTCAAAACTGGTTTTATTGACTGTGCTCTCTTTTATTTTTTTTCCGCAAACACTTTAGTATTTTTTTTGCACGACCACAAGGGCTTAGCAATAAACTTCGATTGAATAAATCACTAGCTTGAACAAAGAAGTCACCACGTGTCGACAAATTTTTCTCCCATCTGAGCGGATACACTCTTGGGCGTATTTATAGGTACTCCCAAGAAAGAAGGGTATGATGCACTATATTACAGTGTACCCCTTCTTCTTGGGAATGTTGCAAAATCCTCTCCGGTTTAACTCTTTTAGAAAGTCGGCGAACCCGTGCACTCTGTTGGGTACGCGCAGAGTGGAGATTGCGAACAGCCTCGCTGACTCTTTCATGAGTTTGTTGTGAAGGCCCTTTAAAGGGCAACTCCGGTCCATACTTTCGATTTTGGGATTATGACTGTTTTTAGTGCAGTCAGGCGTCCCTGAATTGCAAGGTGTAATTTTTTTTCTCGTTATTGTGCGTAGTTTTAAAGATATCGACGCCTCAAAGTTTTGTTAAACTTAAAGAAGAAAACGAGAAAGGACGGACAAACACACACTTTGTGTTTGTCCGTCCTTTCTTGTTTTCTTCCTCAAGTTTATCTATCCATACCAACCCGCACGTTCTGTCCCTTCAAACGTTTGTTTGCGGCGCGGCCAACAAAACCGAAACTAGCCGCTCGAGGCCCCGGCAACACTGGAAATTAGCCGCTATGTGAGCGTGACGTCAGGATCGTTCTCGTTCAACGAGTACGCAGGCCGAGCGGCACCTACCTCTGTCGCGCTAGCCGTTTAAATATAGGAGGTAAGCTGGTTTTGTTTTAATTCTGTATATGTGTTAGTTATCCAGCATATGTGGCAAGTATTAGTGCGTACACCCAAAAGCTAGCGACTGGAAAACCCGGGAACTCGTTCGGTGCCGTACTTGGCGGCCGCCGCCGTGCGTGTGCTATGCCGTACTCGTCGCCTGTATACCCAAAAGCTAACGACAGGAAAACGAGTAAACTCGTTCGGTGGCGTACTCGGCAGCTGTCGCCGTGCGTGCGGTGTTCCGTACTCGTCGCTAGGCCTAAATTGTCATCGAGGCTCCGTGGATGGAGCGGCGCAGCTCTACGCCGCGCTGCCCGTGGCGTACAGTACTGGGGGCCCTCTCGCTTTCGCGCTGCGGGTTAGTCCCAGACACAAAGCTCTCAGGCTCTCCGGCGTGAGCCGCGGCGCCCGAACACACGTGTGCTGGGCTGTACACGTCTGTCTTAGAGCGCAGCTCTTAGGGGCCCGTTTCCAGCCTGAGCGGCGTCGGCGTAACCAGGGGGGGGGTCACGTGGCCCCCCCCCCCCCCGAGGTCACGTGACCTCCCTCTCGAGGTCACGTGACCCCCTCCAGAGATCACGTGACCCCCCCCCCCCCCCCCGAGGTCACGTGACCCCAACGGGGTCACGTGACTACCCGCAGGTGACGTGACCCAAACAGTACCCTTCCCTACTCGTCCTCAAGAGCTGCGCTCCTATTCGGCGTTACAGGGATTTGTGAACGGCTTTCATTTTTTTTTCGTTCTATTTTCCTCGGGCGCGTAAAAACCAAAATCCGAAGTCCAGTCGGCGAACAGCGTTCACCCAGACCTTCTCCGATTTCCGGTCCGTTGGAAACTTGTGAAAAAGTACCTCTGGGTTGTGCAGCGGGTTGTTTGAGCAGCCCACAGGCGCTACAAGGTGTACTCGGCATCTTTCGAGGAACAGCTGGGCAGTCTTGGGCGCACCGAGTTGCTCGCTAAAACGAGTCTTGAAGTCCTCACAAGCAAATAAACAAAAGGCTATACCGAAACTACACGGGCTACAGATAAAAGCAATGGCTAAACACGCCAATCACGAGCCAAAGTGGCGGTGGTAGCGGCTCAAAGAAGCGCGCTGCGCGCATCGCCCGGACCGAAGGAAAAAAAAGATAACAATACTGACGTCACGGCCCAATGTTGCTTTAGCGATCAGCAACCCGCTGGCCGCCCGCTAAGGAGCAGCGACTCGCGGCTGGTCGCATTTTTATTATCGGCATTAGTTGAGAATGCCTCGTCCCACGGACGTGAGATTTTGGCTGGGGTCGTATTTTGTGTCACTACAGCGATACCAGCAATTTATTTCATTTTGACTTTTGGCCGGAGTTGCTTTGTAAGCGCACTTTAAGCAGGGTTATTAAAGGGGTAGGAAAACGAAAAAAAGCTTGAATGTGTTGCATGTTGCACCCTAACCTCAAAAACACGTCTTCCGATGAAAGGCACAGGAAAACTAATTTTAAAGCTAAATAAACGATCTTTTATTGTGTACCTAATGGATGCATGCGGAGCCTATTTGGGAGGTAGTCTA